CCCCGCCCCCCCCCCAGCAGCAGCAGCAGCAGCAGCAGCAGCAGCAGCAGCAGCAGCAGCAGCAAGAACCGCTGATCCCCATGGTCAAGGCCTGGGCCCTCCAGGGGGGCCTCAGCAGCAGCAGCTCTTCTGTAGTTCACTTGGTGTCTTCGCGTGTGGGGTTTGGGGTGTACTATCAGCCGGGGGGGGGCCCGGCCTCGAGCCAGGCGCACGCGCTGTACCAGGAAGCAGCAGCAGCAGCAGCAGCAGCAGCAGCAGCGGGGGGCGGCGCAGCAGCAGCAGCAGCAGCAGCAGCGGGCGACCCCTGCCTGACGCCGCACGGGATCTTCGCAGGCCTCGTGGAGCAGCAAACCGAATGCCTTGCTGCTGCAGCAGCAGTCGAAGCTGCTGCTGATCGCATGCAAGCAAATGTCATTCCTCTTTTGTTTCAAAAACCCTTAAGAGGAAGAATTATTTTAATTACAATTAATGAAAAAGAAGCTGGAGAAACCAGGCCCGAGAGCTTCCTTGCTGTTGAGCTCGTTGCTGCAGCAGAAGCCCGCAGGCAAAACAAGCAGCAAACTGCTGCGTGACTGCAGCAGCAGCAGCAGCAGCAGCAGCAGCAGCAGCAGCAGCAGCAGCGGCGGCGGCGGCGGCGGGAGCAGCAGCAGCGGCTGCGGGTGCTCCTGCCAGGGCTCCTGCTCCTGCTGCGGCAGAGCCAGCAGCGAGAGACGCAGCAGAAGCGACAGCTGCAGCAGCTGCAGCAGCTGCTGCTGCAGCAGCAGCAGCAGTAGCTGCTGCTGCTGCTGCAGCAGCTCCAACAGATAATTCCGCATTGTCGCTCGCCAGAGGCGACGACGCCGCCGGTGCTGCTGCTGCTGCTGCTGCTGCTCTGGGCAGTTCAGCCGCTGCAGCAGCTGCTGCAGCAGCTGCTGCAGCAGCAGCAGCAGCACCAGTTGCTGCGGGAAATCGGCAGCAGCAGATGCTGTTGTTGTTGCTGCTGCTGCTGCCCCTCTTTTGTTTATTGGCGTTTCAAAAGCTGAAGGAAACTTCCTTATTTATTTTTTTGTTTTGGCTTACGCAAAAAGTGATAAACAGCAGCAGCAGCAGCAGCAGCAGCTGCTGCTGCTGCTGCTGCTGCTGCGGTGGTTTTGCTAAGTGTTTGTGCTGCTGCTGCTGCTCGCTTGAATCTCCTGCTGCTGTTTTGCCCTTGAAAAATTGGGGTTTAGGGTTTGCGAGGGTTTGTGCCTTCGTGGTGTGCAGCTTCCCGTGCTAGGGTTTAGGGTTTGTTGTTTAGAATTTAGGGTTTAGGGTTTAGGGTTTAGATTTATTAATGGCTTTTCCCGCGAGTTTTCTAGCTCTGCAAAGTCAGCAGCATAGCAGCAGCAGCAGCAGCAGTGGCTGCAGTAGCGGCGGCTGCGGGTGCTGCTGCTGCTGCTGCTGCTGCTGCTGCTGCTGCTGCTGCTGCTGCGAGAAGGCCTCTGGAAGCAGAAAAAGAAGTTTTTTAAAAATGAAATAAATTAATTTAATTATTTAATTTAATTTAAAGTTGCTTCGGAGCCTTGAGCTGTATGTACACCTGAGGCTCCCACTGCTGCAGTCGCTCACCTGGTGTCTCATGAGCAGCTCGAGCCTTCTCCACAGCTGAGGGTTTAGGGTTTAGGGTTTAGGGTTTGGGGTTTAGGGTTTAGGGTTTAGGGTTTAGGATGGGGCCCCCTCTGTTCCTGTCCCCCAGTTTGATTATCTCCCTGTACTCTCGCTATGCCCGAGTCCATCCGCTGCTGCTGCAGCAGGAAGCAGCAGAAGCAGGAGCAGCAGCAGCAGCAGCAGCAGCAGAGGAAGGGGGGGACCCCAGCACGCAGCAGCAGCAGCAGCAGCAGCAGCAGCTTGCAAGGATCAGCGGCTCCTGCTGCGATGTGCTAGCCCCCCGAGAGCTTGTGGAGCAGCTCACTTGCCCCATTTGTCTTGATGTGAGCAGGGTTTAGGGTTTAGGGTTTAGGGTTTAGGGTTTAGGGTTTGGGGTTTAGGGTTTAGGGTCTGGGGTTTAGGGTTTAAGGTTTGGGGCTGCAGCATCTCTTCTGCCGCACAAGCGCCGCAGCAGCTGCGGGTTTGTGAAACGGTACTCTTTGGCCCCTGCGTCTAGGGTTTAGGGTTTAGGGTTTAGGGTTTAGGGTTTAGGGTTTAGGGTTTGTGGTTTAGGGTTTAGGGTTTGGGGTTTCTGTGCGTAGAAACATGGTTTTTGGGTGGTTTTTTCTGGAATTTTGTGTTCTGAGGGTTTAGGGTTTAGGGTTTAGGGTTTGGGAATTGCAGTGCTTGGACATAAACCCTAAAACAGCGAATTAAATCCATTTGCTGCTGCTCTCAGGTGGCCCGCAGGGCCCTCTTAACCCCCTGCGGCCACTTGGGCTGCTGCGTCTGTTTGCTGCTGGCCGTCCAGTCCCGCCGCCGCTGCCCCCTCTGCAGCAGCAGCATCAGCAGCAGCAACTTGCTGCAGCCGCTGCTCGCGGGGCAGGTCCTCGCGCAGCTGCAGCAGCTGCAGCAGCAGCAGCAGCAGCAGCAGCAGCAGCAGGGGCGGCGCGTGCAGGAGCTCCAGGAGGAAGAAGACGCGGAGCTGCTGCTGCAGCAAGACGCTCTGGAAGCAGGCACGGAGCAGCAGCAGCAGCAGCAGGACCAGCAAGAGCAGCAAGACCAGCAGCAGCAGCAGCAGCAGCAGCAGCAGCAGCAGCAACAGCAGCAAAGGTCGGTGTCAGATGAATTGGACAGCTTGAGGCCCTTCTGCATCTCCGAGACGCAAAGCTTGAAGGGAGCTGCTTTGCTGCAGCGGATACTTAACCAGCAGCAGCAGAGCAGCAGCAGCAAAAGCAGCAGCAGCAGCAGCAGCAGCAGCAGCAACAGCAGCAGCAACCAGATTGAGCTCTTCTATGAGCGGTTTTATAATGTAGACTTTCAGCAGCAGGGCCTCCTGAACCCCACAGAGGGCCCTCGAGGGTTGCAGTCTGCTGCTGCAGCAAAAGCAGCAGCAGCAGCAGCAGCAGCACCTGCTGCTGCTGCAGCAGCAAAGCCAGCCCCACCAACCGCGAGTGGTGCTCGCGCAGCAGCAGCAGCAGCAGCAGCTCCTGCGGGCGAGGAGGATCTTGCAGGGGCTTCAGCAGCACCGCCCGCAGCAGCAGCAGCAGAAGCAGCAGCAGCAGCAGAAGCAGAAGCAGCAGCAGCAGCAGCAGCAGCAGATTCTTGGACTTGGCCGCTGTGGGGCTCCAGAAGCTTCGGAGTTGCTTTGCTGCAGCGAGCTGCTGCTTACAGCAGATTGCTGGTGCGCTGCAGGGCCTGCAGCAAAGTGCTGCCTGTCTCCAGGTTAGCTCTGCTGCTGCTGCTGCTGCTGCTGCTGCTGTTGCTGCTGCTGCGATTGCTGCTGCTGCTGCTGCGATTGCTGCTGCTGCTGCTGCGGGTCTGTTTTGATTTGGCTGGGTGTTTGTGATGGTGGATTGCTGCCTTTCTTGCGGGGCAAGTGATTGGACTTGCTGCTGCTGCTGCTGCTGGCTCTGTTGCTGCTGCTCCTGCCACGCATGCGGCTGCTGCTGCTGCTGCTGCTGCTGCTGCAACGAGCTTTGTTGCTGCTGCTGCTGCGGGCTACGGCGCTGCTGCTGCGGTCACTGCTTCTGCTGCTTCTGGGAGCACTGCTGCTGCGGCTCCACTCCTCAGCTGCTGCTGCTGCTGCTGCTGCTGCTGCTGCTGCTGCTGTGTGCACCAGGCTGCCGCTTCATCAGCAGCAGCAATGTGAATACCTTCCTTGCTGCTTCTCGTGCTTCGGCTGTTCTTATTTGCTGCGGCGGAAAGACAGGGCGTTGCTGCTGCAGTGGACGGCGCTGCAGCGAGCAGCAGCAGCAGCAGACCACGAGCTGCTGCTGCTGCAGACCGAGAGGAAGCGCAAGGACAAAGCAGCAGCAGCAGCAGTAGCAGCAGCAGACGCTGCTGCCGCAGAGGCTGCTGCAACAGATGCTGCTGCTGCAGCGGCTGCTGACCCAGCTGCTGCGGCCGCAAAAGCAGCAGCCAGCAGCAGCAGCAGCAGCAGCAGCAGCAGCGGCTCTTCCGTCCCAGAAGCAGCAGCAGCAGCAGCCGCTGCTGCTGCTGCTGCTGCTGAAGCTGCTACTGATGCTGCAGTGCGGGAGCTGGAGACTGTGGTGCGGCAGGAGACACTGAGGGAGGAAATGGTTTTGCTGCAGCAGCAAATTCAAGAGGCGCAGCAGCAGCAAGCTGCGCTGCTGCAGCAGCACGAAGCTGCATGCAAGCGGCGTCTGGTGAAATGCGGCTGCTGCCTCCGATATATAACTCTCGAGCATGCACATTCGCTGCAGGACTGGGCAGCAGACCAGCAGCAGCAGCAGCAGCAGCAGCAGCAGCAGCAGCAGCAGCAGCAGCAGAGGCGGGGGGGAGCGGCGGCGGGCTGGGGAGGCGCTGCTGCTGCTGCAGCAGGCGAGAGCGGGAGCAGCGCTTCTCCGCCAGCAGCAGCAGCAGCAGCAGCGCCAGGAGCAGCAGCAGCAGCAGCAGCAGCGCCAGGAGCAGCAGCAGCAGCAGCTCGAGCAGCAGCTGCTGCTGCGCGGCGCAGCCGCTACTTCGCGCCAACAGACCCCACTGCTGCTTCCTGCTTATTTGCTGCTGCTGCTGATGCTGCTGCTGCTGCTCTCAGCCCCGAGCTGCAGCAGGAAGTCTTTTCGCCCTTTGCCCCGGCCGTGGCCTACATAGGTTTGTTTCATTTATTTTTATTTATTTATTTATTTATGTATTTATTTATTTATTTATTTATTTATTTATTTATTATTTTAATTAATTTATTTATTTTATTTATTTATTTTATTTATTTGTTTCTTTGTTGGGGGTTTTGCGGCAGTGGGGCGGGTGCTTGCTGGGCTTGGGGGGCGTCCAGGGTTTAGGGTTTAGGGTTTAGGGTTTAGGGTTTAGGGTTTAGGGTTTAGGGTTTGTGGCGCAGCTGACAGAGAGCAAGAGCTGGAGGAGCGGGTGGACGCCGAGGGTTTTGAAGTGGAGCTCTTTCACTGCGACGGTAATAAATAAATAAAATAAAAAATAAATAAATAAATAAAATAAATAAATAAATAAATAAATAAATAAATTAATTAATTAGAAATAAAATTAAATTATGGAGCAATCGATTAGATGCAGCGGCAGCAAAAGAGCAGCAGCCAGCTCCACGGGCACCCAAATTAACGAGGGTTTAGGGTTTAGGGTTTAGGGTTTAGGGTTTAGGGTTTAGGGTTTAGGGTTTAGGGTTTGGCTGCAGGGCGTGTGCCGATTTGTTCTGAGAAGTGCCCCGTGCTGGAGCCGCAGCGGCTGCGCACGGAGCTGCACGAGGCCCTCTCGCTTCTCGGTAAACCCTAAACCCTAAACCCTAAACCCTAAACCCTAAACCCTAAACCCTAAACCCTTTTTTGTCTTGACTGTGCGTTTGTTCGTGTCTGTGGACTGCTGCTTGCTGCCTGGGCGGGCTGCGAGCGGGGGCGCTCGCAGGGTTTAGGCCCCAGGGCCGAGGGTTTAGGGTTTAGGGTTTAGGGTTTAGGGTTTAGGGTTTAGGGTTTGCAGGGGCCACTTGGTCTTGGGGAATGCCGCTTTCTTTTCTGCTGGGACTTATTGTTTCCAAAACCTCCCAAACCCTTCTGGAGCAGCTGCAGGTGCTGCTGCCTTCAGCAGCAGCTTTTGTGGGCGGTCAGCCAAACCCTAAACCCTAAACCCTAAACCCTAAACCCTAAACCCTAATTTGCGTTCTGGGGCAGCTGTGGGCGGT